TAGATCACAAATATGCGTCTGGTGACTGGGGACGGATGAGACCAGGAAAGGATCGAGACTGGTGATGTGTCGGTCGGTTCATGCACATGTATGCGGACAGATCTAGGATTTATCTAGTCCAGCTCCGAAACTAACCTGTTCACGACATAAGTATTAGTCGCGTTTGGCGTGATGGAAATCGGACAAAAGATATAGAGATTCCTTGGACAAAAATGTACTCCTGCTACTTATGCGTCGCAGGTGCCGCGCGCCTGGCGGCCATGCATGCACCTACCACACAGTTCGTCCAAGAACGCCAAAGGTTCGCACATAGAATGGGTGAGAGAGAGCCGCGCGTGTGTGTTAGTGGGTAACATCGCTGTCAGTGTCCAAAGTCCAATCCATGGCGATAAAGCTTGTTAGCTTTAGGACTGATGAATCGCCTCCTAGCTGCCTAATTGGAATCCGATGGTGCGCCTTTTGTACATGGGTCGCAAGTCGCAAGTACTCAAAGCCATGCGATGAACTAACGGAACATGTAATCTGTTCCACAAATCCAACTCGTCTTTCCATAATTACAACTACTACGTACGTACAGAGACGAATTGATCAGGTGGTTTGTGAAGCTATGTGCATACAAGTATTTTTCTTTCTTTCGCGAATTCATATGTACTACGTATTTATGTACACAAGACTGCTTGCACACCATGGGTGGCTAGCCTGCCAATGCCAAGTAGGACGCGGACGCTGGTGACCACGTCCACCGACCGGCGACGCAGCCGTCCAGGATGGCACGGCCGATGCCGGCGTCGGCGTCCCCGCCGCTGGTATCCCTACCAGTGGCTTCATGCAGAGCGCGCAACTCGCTGGCGAGCATCCGCACGGCGACCCGCTGGCCGGGCACCGGCAGCGCCATCGGCATAATCCACGGGCACGGATGCACCGCCGCGCTCCTCGGCCTCGCCGCCATGTCGTCCTTGGACGCGCAGCTCCCCATGTGATGTATATCTACCTCTTCACGGAACAAACAAGGAAAGTGGTGTATGCACACTTGTACCAGACGCACTCGCATATATATGTGCCGTCGAGCGAGACGATGAAGGAATTGAAGCCGGCCTCCATGCATGCATGTGCACAAGCAAACTCAAGAAGCAACCGAATCCATGGCGTTGGACAAGCGTCAAGAGAATGGCTACGCTACGCGTGATCGATCGAATGGGTGGAGACGGCAAGAAACACAAGCACTAGCAGCTATAGGGTGATGATTATTATGTCGTTCATACCAGCTTTCGCTAGCTGGTTTAATTTGGATCATGCTAATAATGCATCCATGTTGTTGCTCGTTGCTTGCCTTGCTTCCGATCCATCGGTTCCTTTTGCGCATAGCAACTTAGAATTGTTGTTGTGTGCAAGCAACGCTCCCGGCCGTTCGGACTACATATCAACACCAAGATATATATCGAGATTTTCTTTCCCTTGGCAACTACTCCCTTCATCCATGAAAATGTACCTCCAACTTTGTTGAAAAATCAAACTTTTTTATATTTGACTGTATTTATACAATAATACACCAACATTTATGCTATCAAGTTAGTAGCACTAGATTCATGATAAACATATTTTCATTATACTCCTATTTAATTTCACAAGCACTGATATATTTTTGTACAAACTCGATCAAACTTTAAGATAGTTTGATACGAAGTACACACTTTCAAGGATGGAGGGAGTAGTAGTCCTAAACATCTCTGTAAATAAATGTAAGACCGTTTAAATCACTAGAGTATCTTGTTGCATGCAACCATATAACACATGGGTTGTTGCTTAATTGAACAAGGAGGTTACCCGTGGCAGAGCAAAAACAGAGGGCCTTCTATGCCGCGCCAGCATCATGTCAGCTTCCACGTGACCAAACCGTCCTCTAAAACGGGATCGAAACTTGTTACTTTGAGCTAGCCAGCATACGCATATGCACGCAGGTGCGGAGCAGTGAGAGGAGCGGTAGCCAGACAGGCAGGCCGAGGAGGCTGTCGCGCACGTACTGGTACTACAACTAGGAACGTAGGCGTGGTCCAGCTGATGTGGTGACGCGCGCATGGCGCCCTCGTACGCTTCTCATCAAGGCTTGTTGAACCCCGTACAGCTGACAAGACAAGAATCCACGGCCATGCAGCTAGCAGCCTGTGTACGTAACCAACCAGGGAAGTGCCAGGCCAGGGGGACAACACCAACTGTTGCAGACAGCTGTGCCAATACTGTGGGGCTGCAGTATTCTAGACTGGATGGACCTGCCAAGACTACACAAACTTATACACATAGTAATTGTTATTTTACTTTTTATTTTACAAAAAACTATCATTCTATTCATCATTACTCGTGTCAGTACAACGAACATAAAAAAATAAAAATTACACCCAATCCATAGACCACTAAAGCGAACCGAAGACGCGCCGCCGTCAACACCCTTGTCTCGCTGGAGCTGAGCAAAACTTGTTGTAGTAGACAGTCGGGAAGTCGTCGTGCTAAGACCTCGTAGAACCAGCACACCAGAATAGCAACCATCCCGATGAAGAGAAGCGTAGATCGAAAGAATCTAACCTGAAGACATACAAACATAGACACACAAAGATTGAATTCGAGCGGATCCACCACAGATAACCACCGACCGAATCCCACCAGATTCGCCAGAAACACACCTTCACACATCCTCCAACGACTCTAGTCGCGCTGTCGGGATGGAAGCTAGGCAGGAAGAACCTTTTTCCATCTTGGAAAAAGAGTCATGGGACGAAGGGAGTGCCATTTTTCTGGCTGATTACGCAGTTGGGAAAAGAGTTAGACGCGGAAGAAACTGTTTCCAAAGAATTATGTAGTCTTCCCGCAGAAAAAAAAAGAATTATGTGGTCTGACCCAACGATCTTGAGATGAGACCTATGCGTCATCTGGCGGGCGGCGTCACGTCGCAGCTGGTATGGACGATATACGCGAGCAGGGCTCACGCATGGGCATGAGGCGGCCACGCTGGCGTGCACTGTAGCTGAATCTGCATGCTCCGATTCCCTTCCGTGCAAAACAGCAAGCACACTGTGCACGCGGACGAGACTTTTGACAAAATCTTCACACCAAGTTATCCAGCTACTAGTACTACTCACCGATGATCAAGGGACGGATAGAGGAGGAAGAGCCGCGCCCGCCCGCACGGCGTCCGGTGGCGGGCGACACGCGGCGTGCTCGCGCAGCACAACACCGCTGATGCACGTCTCTCGCCGTTGGATCATCATCCAGTTGTCTTTGCCGCCCTTTTTTCTGTTCGGCCGTCGGTCGGAGACGACAGGCGGCGCGAAAGGATGGAGCCGTCGCGAATTTTTGCAGCCTGGGAGATGCGTGCTGGGTTTGCGCTGCGCCGATGTGAAATCCCGTTGTCGGGATTTGTTTTCGCGAAGAGAGTTTTAGAGGTTTCGTTCGAGCCTGGGGCCGGAGCTACAGCCCGCGTAGCATAGAGAGACAGGGGAACGGATTATTGGTAAATTATTGAGCAGATCTGGCGCGTGGGATGATGATCATGTCCGCGTGTCGTCCGCCCGCCCTCCTTGGTCCCGGCTCCTGTAGGCTGTAGCAGCGTAGATAGATGGACGCTTTTTTTTTTTGAGTCTGCGTAGATAGATGGACGCGATGGCCCCTCGACCGACCCGTAGGCGTCGAACTGTCGCGGTCGGTTGCCTTTTTCCTGGCGCCCCAGCCCATTTCCGGCCGTCCGGTCCCTCCTGCCTGCATACGCATCGCACGCGCCGGCACGCGCTTGGTACCCTCCCGTGGCCCGTGGCAGGCAGGATCCACCTCACATATCGGGACCGGCACAAAGGCTCGGCTCACTGCACGTACTATACTGCAGCCGATGAGATGAAATGAGATGGAGATGCACACACGGCCCGCGTAGTTCTGTACCGCTGTTCGCTCGTGCGTGGTGGCAGACAACAACAATGGGTGGCCCGGCCGATGGAACCTGACAAGGGCACAAGCACGGAAGAGTGCACGCAATGTGCAAGGAACATCTCACTGGCATGCTTTATGGACAACGTTATACACGATGAGAAAAGTGAACCAACTTTTCTTGGTTAAACTTGTAGCTCTAGGTAAACTTTTTCCATTTTGAGGGAAGCTCTAGGTAAACTTAAACTCGCGGGCTACCCACACCACAAGCAACAAAAATGGATTCTACTAGTATTCCATGGCAAAAAGACAGACCTTAAACGTTCCAGCAAATAACAATTTCTGAGCGGTTGCCATAGCTGATCAAAAGTAAATAAAACCTAAGATGAATACTACGACGCGTTTGGTTGGGCGGGAAAATGCCTCTCCCAATTACAGCGCTTTTGGAAACAGTAGCAGCGTTTTGGTTCCGACATTCTGTTTTCTGTCAGATACAACGCTTCACATCCACAAAAACCGTCGTATCCCAGCCGGAAACGCCTCCTTGCCTTATGTGCATTGGCTCCAGTTTCAGAAGTTACTAATAACATGCAATTTATACAACGAGCATATTTACAGATCAACCCAAGGATAATGTTGAACTGCTCGTGTGCAGACTGAATATTGGGAACACGAAGAGCATAAGCATCAGCAAACAAAAATACCAGGGGCACGACAGAATTGGCACAGCATAATGGCAAGTGCTCATCATTTTTCAGGTAAACGACTTGCTGCAACTTTCCAGGTAGTAGCAAACAAGACACCAACAACTGAACAAAGACAAAAGTTCACGAGTTTCGCCTTGCTGCATCAAGGACAAGAGCAACAGGCCCGCTTCTAAGAAGCTCTATGTGCAAAAGGTAAACACCGACCAACCATTTCTAATTTTTCCTTTCCCCTCCTCCGCTCGAGTCTTGATACTTACCGGCGATACAATAAAAAGACACTCGAGCGGATAACTTAGAAGAAAAGACATATCTTAATTTCTCTTTCACATATGTCGATCTCTCTATATATAAGCAGTGCCATTGGCACCTCCTGTACCTACAACTCTAGTTCATCATTGGCCGAGGAGCACGGGGACGAACGGGAGTCTTAGATGGACTCACCCTGAAATATCAGCAAGGCAGCACGTTATTTCCAGAACTAAATAGGCTTTTATTCACAGTTGGGTCAACAAAGTTGAATTAAGACCATGCTTTTTACCTTATTGGCAGGGAACCCAGTATAACACCACTGCAGTTGAGAGCAGCTGTAGCACTTTCAGCCTGAAAATTAAGAAACAAATGAACCTCCAGGCTGAACTTAGTTGTGAAATGAAAAATACCACCACTACTACTATGCCACAAAGGACTAGCCAAGGACATTGCTGTTACAACAGGAAAGAAGTTGCATACACACAAGAACTTCATTTCCCAAAATACCCTGCGTCGAAAGGCCCCAAAATCCAAGAAAATGTAACTAACAGAGCCATTTTTACAGCACACGTATAGCGATTAGAGATTATCCAGAACAACAAACAATGCTGACTAAGATCAAGTTAATGCGCTAAGCACGAGGACAACAAGCAACAGTAGATCTTGCTAACTAATAACTTCTCAATAGAGAGAGTACTTGGGACCACTTCAGGTTTAAAGAAATGATCTTCAGACATCCACCTAAACTGACATGCAATGCTACACATCAGGACATCAGATCATAACTCATAACATAATAGAGTACCAACCATAGTTGTGAGTTTAATAAAGCAAGTAATGTTCAGGAAAAGACTAATATATGTTCCCTCCTTTCCAAATTAGTCGTCGCTGATTTAATACTCCCTCCGATCCATATTACTACTTGTCTTAGATTTCTCTAGATACGGATGTACCTCACACTAAAACATGTCTACACACATCCGTATCTAGACAAATCTAAGACAATATGGATCGGTGGGAGTACAATCTTGTCCTAAATCAGCGACAACTAATTTG